GGCCAGTTATCCGGAGGGACGTATTTCTGGAAATGCAATGAATAATTTGAAAAGGGCAAACTACAATTAAAGCGCGATTTGGAAATCTTCCTAGATACACCTCACTAGCTTCTGTGAATTTTATAAAAAAATTGAACTCGAAGGCACAATAAAGGAACTTATGTCAAACGTAGCAATAATGAATTTGCTAAAAAAAAAGAATCGCACCTTGGTGTCAATATTCTCCAGTATTGATTCGATGTCGCCATATGTTTTGATAAGCTCAAATGCTTTCTTCGGGCCAATTCCACGTATCGACTCACAATAATCACAACCCAAAAGGATGCAAAGATCAATGAACTGTTCCATTGGCATATCGAAATCTTCGAGAATGCGAGCAAGGGAAAACTCCTGAAACGCAGCTATGAAGGTTTTGATGATAGAAAAACAAAACATGAGCTAAAAAAGTTAAGAAAATTTCGATTATTTGTAGAAAACAAGCGATAACCTTGATTGGCATTTTCTTCGCTTCGGAGAATGTCATATGCCGAAGTAAGATATTCGAACCAAATGTTAACGAATCCATATCCTCGGTCGCTGTTGCAAACACCTAAAAAGGAACACTTTTTGAATGCAAACACATTCTCTCACCCATCACAAAATTTGAAAAGATGGTTCACTAAAAGAACGGTGGCAATAGCAGGCAGGCAAGAGCGATTGGAGTACCCACTTTATTAGCCTTCACAAGAGCAGCACATTGAGCTTCAGCTTCACATGGTGCTTCCACAACAGGAACTCCCATGAGACGAAGAAGTCGTTTGACGTCTTCGTTCTGCTCCTTAGTAACCTGCAAAACGTCTATTAGTCTGCGGAACAGCTTCCAAGAAAAAATGATTCTGAGTGAGTTGATGGGGATGCGGCGGCGCGGCTCTTTCAAGCGTGATAGCACTACGGTTTAGCCTAGAAAGGTGCGGGTGGGCTGTGAACAGTGCGACTTGTTATGATGCTTCATTTTAGCATCTAACTTTTTGAGCCTTCCGCGGGTCAGGCTTGGTGTCATCGTGTTTGAGATGCCGCGCCGTTGCGTGGTACCACCCCCTCACTCACTTAGCATAGAAAAAATAACACAACAACACCTTACTTTCACGAGTCGACGCTCAAACTTATCAGCAGCAACAGTGTCACCCTTCTCTTTTGCTTCGACGAGTCCCTTTTCAGCTTCAGCGCTAAACACACAAAGAAATCGCCTTCAAACTTTTAGCACGTTACAACTTTCATAAAAACTTTTACGCCATCAAACTAATCAATAGCACTTAAATGAAAACTTCAAAAGATTTTGAGGCCGCTAACCGTCTTTCTGTTCGTTTACCCAACTCCGCACTCTTCATATCAGGTGGCTTTCCGTCGAACACATAACATGGCTTCACACCATTATCGATCATTCGAATTGTGCGGTAAAACATGCCCATCAAATGACTGAATTCAAGTTTTGATGTTCGAGCGCATTGCTCCAAAAACGTAACCAGAAATCTAAAAGGCTTGTTCCACTCTACCTTGTGACATCTCCGCTTTCCGACTGCAACTGAGACCCATCTTGACGAACTGCGATAAGGAACTGGTATAGACACATGGAGGCATCAACAGCCACCTGAAAAAATTCCATTACTCCACAATGACGTAGTGAAATGAAAAGTAAAGAAAAGGGTAGAAAATTGCATAGAGAAAAAAAGAAAAGGAAAAGAGTGATAAGCTTACCTTACGTCCAAAATAGTTCTTCATTTCGTGAAGTCTGATTGCATTCGGAGCATTGTCTGCTATAACCTTTGAAAGGTCCTTGATTCCCATTGTAGAGAGAGGATTCTATTTCTCAGCAGAGCCGGAAAATATGATAATTAAGCAAACTCGAAGGCTCTAGCTTGAGTTAGCGCTTTCGCGGGTTCGCCGTAATTGCGTATTATCCATTGCTGCACCGTATCGATCAATATGAGTGGCCGCTAAGCAATTATCAACATGCCGTATTGTGGGGTGGTAATTTCTACACGCGGTCCAGTCCTACCTGCCCACGTTGGGGGGTATTGTATAGATGACTTCGTATGCACTTGAGGACACAGGAAGCGCACGCCATGTCCCTCAGCAGTACTTTCTCAGATGACCAGTTAGCTCTGGCCGAAAATTGACCATGGGCCGGGTGCAGCAAGCCCTAACTCGGGGATGGGTCCCCAAAACTACATCTCTGGACGCTTCCTCTAATATTGAAATGAGTGTTGCGCCATCGACAGAGTAGAGACGCAGAAATTGGGGACCAGTCCCCAGTTAGGTATTGCTGCACCCGGCCCCATGAGAGCTCGCTTAAGCCCTTTCCGGCCATAGCTCGCATGGGGATTGAACGGTGCTGAGTGAAGTCCGTGTCCCCCCCCAATTCATTTAGCAACCGTTACAGCCATGACCCCGTTCATGTCCCCGCGACTTGTGCGACTCGCGACTCGAAACATTTTGGCCGATTATGCAGCGCGACTGAAAGACCCGCCGGCGCACCGACATCCGCAAACGTTCGTAGAGTGGAGTAAATCCAATGCGCATTTAATCCTCATTGTTGGTGACAAATGGCGCACAAAAGTCCGCAGCCTATAACTGACCTCTTGAGTTTGACGATTTCCCGAAAGAGACGCATAACCATATTGTATGCCAGTAAGGGTCGGCGACGCGCCGAAATAGGTGCTCAAGGTGCAGTCAAATCATTCTGCGAGTATCTAGCCGAACTCACGCGCTTCAGATCAATACGTATGTATTCTTTTCAGCGGATTCGCCGTACGAACACTGTCTTGCCTCCACTGCGATTCATGGAGCCAAAACATCCCATCGTGCCCTTGGGCTGTACCCATACGCAACGCCTACAGACGCCGCACGTCACGAGGTGTGGGTGCTTTTATTGCACTGACTAACGGCGAACATCTCATCATTTTATCCATTCATCACGCAACCACCTTCCGAGTTTTGCTACATAACCAAGGTGCAAAATCTGGTAACAATAGTCCCACTCTCTTAACGGACACCTTGAACCAAAGAGTTCGAAAAATAGTGCAGAAAAAAATAGCGATCGCGTAGAACAACTACTATGCGTGGGTCGCTAAGTCATGAAACAACTCTTTTATGCGAATTGAATAAATAAACAATATAACAGTCAACAAATAAATACTATGAAGTGACAACAACACATCAACAAAACGTCTAATACTCTTCGCCATCCATATTATCATCTGAGCCGAGATCTCCATATCCCTCACCATTATCAAAGTAGTTTGCGCAGTAATCATTATCTTCCTCGCCAAAGTCATCATCTGAAGCCACAGCACTACCCGGATGCTCCTGAGATCCTTCTGAACCCTCCTCTTCATCCTGAATCACCTTATAATGAGGGCAAGAACTAGAACTGTTGAAGAAGGAATAGCTATCTACAGAGATGTTCGACAGAAATCAAACCTCCACTTCTTCCACGTTCTCATCACCCTGTTCAGCTTGTTCCAATCGTAGCAGCTTCTGCTGAACAACTTCTGTCGAATCATCGATCAGTTTACGCTTCTTCGCCGCAGAGACCTCCACTCGCTGGTGTCGCCAACAAAGTTCTTCGGGTAATCGTGAAAAATCTGGAGGTAGAACAGTACAATAGTGACCTAACGGTGAGGGTTAACAGTTGGTTAACAAAAATTCACTGGTGACTAACCTGGCTCTAGTTTTTCCCGATGAATTTCATTATATTTATCTGTATATCGCCTAATGTCTCTAACTTGAACGTTGTCCAAATAAAAAGGAGATTCTTGGAACCTGAACGAAACTGGAATAAATGACATTTGTAAATTCCATAGATTACATTATTTGGTGAAATTACCTGTTAATCAACTCGAGCTTCAATTCAGAAATATATTGCAATTCATTGGTGAGCTCCAAAGGAATTAGGGCTCGCTGTACAGTCTGAAATAATAGCCGACGTTGCAGAGCATGGCGAGGTGTGGAAGGAGGTAAAATGGGAGGGAGGGGGAGAGAGAAACAAATGATACTTATTAAAGGCATGCCCCAGGATCGCACTGATGTGGCTCTTGCACACGGAAAAATCAAATATCTGGCAGCAAGATGGCGAAATGACCGTTGTTAGTACCTGTGAAATCAGAACTGCCTTCCGCAACAGCGCTCACGACTATCAGTGCGTCAGCGACCACCTGGTTGGTGGCGAATGTGCTGGCGTTCACGAAAGAAAATACCGTCGTGTGTGTTCAACTATACATTTGATTACAGGTTGTGAAGTACGGTATGTCGGCAAAGATTGGTCCGCTCTCCTTCGAGACACCTGGCCCAGGTGAAATGGCGTTCGATAAGCCATATTCCGAAGCGACTGCACAAATGATCGACCAGGAAGTTCGAGACATGGTCAACTCTGCTCTAACGAGGACACGGGAACTGCTTTTATCAAAAAGGGAAGACATAGAAAAGGTCCGTTACTGTAGTCCTCACTAAACACCTGAAATTGTCTGTAGTTTCGCGGTTATAACTAGCGCACCTACTTGTCATTTTCCGGAACTTCCAGAGGTGGCGAAATTGTTATATTGTTTTTGTAATTATTATTTTCATTTTTATAGACCTATGATTTTTTATTGATGTTTTTTTTAGGTTGCTCAACGGCTTTTGGAGAAAGAAATCTTATCTCGTGAAGACATGGTGGAATTGTTAGGAAAACGGCCGTTCGCTGAGAAACAAACCTATGAGGAAATGGTTTCTGGTACAGGAGGTGCGTTTGACGGAAGATGCAATGGGAATTTCTTTCTCTTGACTTAGTTTTAAACTTCTTCGCTTCAGGATTGGATGAAGACACGGAATTACCGAAGGGTTTGAAAGATTGGAACAAAGAAAAAGCACCAGTAGGGGCTGCCGATTGACTGACACTCGTATCTCATCACTCAATTAATTTAATTAGTTTTGTTCCACCTTGTACATGTTAGGATTTTACGCTCGTGGACGAACCTTCGGTGACTATGAACTGTTCAGTCATCCACTGCTAGTTGTTGTTTAGATGTTTGTTATATGGTTCTATTTTGTAAATGTTTAATGAAATACTCCTCGAATGAATGTACAGATCATTGTTCTTCTTGTTTCTATGGCATATGTAAAGCACAATTACTTAGAAGTAGTAATTTTTCTAATGCAAATTACTATATAGTGGAAATTCAAATATGGCTATTTTCAGAATGGGTGGGCGTGGCCGTGGAAGGGGTGCTGGACCGGGCACAACGGTTCGAGCAGTCGCCCATGCCTTGGGTATAACCAGGCAAGACATGGCGTCGTACGCGAATCAACGGACAGTGGAGGATCCTCCTGATTATCCAGTAGGTGGCCAATGTGTTCGATTCAAAAACATCAGGTAGAGAGGATCGAGAAATCGGTCATGAACTCACCCATGCAGGAACTCGGACA